ACTCAATAAAGACATGGAATAAAAAAATATTCAAATTGCTACTAAATGAATGAACTAAAAATCTATGAGTATTCTAATTGACTTGAATTTGACACATCAATATGCCCAAAATTATAATTTCAACCTACATTTCCTATTTCTATCTCCTGATTCCCATAATTCAAACATACCATTATGTTATGTACATGTTTCCCTACCTTTTTCCTAAAGATAAATTCTAACCAATCTACGCACATTGTGGGGAGCTTAGACTTAAAATCCATAACCATGATCGACCAAAAGAAGCGTTGCCACCTAACTTGGAGGTGACTTCCATATATAGGATGGTCCCATTATTCCCCTTTCTTTCATGTTTCCTCTATTGGATGGACTTTGGAATCCTAATTAAATGATCAGTTGATTGTAGCCATACATGATGGTTTGATTGTAGTCATATATTTTTCATCTCTTACTTCAGAGGATGGATGCATCTACGAATATTGTTTGGCATGGATTGTTTTTCTTAGCAGTTCTTTGAATGGTTTTCTTCCTTCTTTGCCTCTTTGAATGGATATCATTTAAATGCTTTTTATCAATTCATATGTCCCTAAATATTAAACAGTATTGGTGATATTGTTGTAAACATCCATCTAATTTTATTATTTTATAAATAGATTAATGATTTCCAAGTTGTTGATACTTTTTCGGGGGTGGGTTGCTCAACAGGACATTGATTTTTTATTGCTAAATAGTAAATTTCAAATTAAATGATACTGTAGTTGCCCCTTACTTAGTATGGGGTCATTGTCTAGATAAAACCTGGTAAGTCTCTTAAATCAAATAAATAGACTATCCTAAATGTCTATTATAAATAATAAAAAAATAAAATAATTCAAATTAAATCAAATAATTTCTTGCTGAAAAATACTGAATTAAGTAAATAATAAAAAACAAAATAACAATAATCAATTATCATTAATGTTTATTCAGATCATGCCCCATAATAATTACCGAATACAGTAATTAAACCTTAAATAAGAATCAATATTTATTAATAGTCATTAAAATTGTTAAGTCAAATCATTAATGTTTATTCTTAAATGCAAAATATTAATTAGCAAATCTATTATATAATAATTATAGTCGGTTGGAAAAAATATTTTAAGTAAACATTTAAATAATTACAAATTTAGTTAATATTATTACTATATAACAAAATTTTTAAATTAAATACTAAAATAAATTAATAATAATAATGATTAAATTAAAGCAATAAACGGTTTAAGTTGAACTTAATGACTCATATAAATTTATGGGTTTGACATATGAGTCAATTTATATGGACCCATAGATTATATAAATGTCTTAAAAAATGGCAATTTATAAATAGTAATAAAAATCATTAATATTTATTTATATATATATATATATATATATCTTAACTTCTCCATCTTAATACGGGTCATTCACTAGCGGTTGATAATAACAGTACGATCTGTGCACATGCCTAACAAGTAGTTAGGTCATGGCCACCAAAAAGCTAAACAGTTTGTCATACATCAAAAACCTGATCATATGACTGTGATCCGTTCGTTTCCTCAGAATTCGTTAGATGTCAAAGTCAAGTCTATAATATCAAGGCCAATTAAGTAGCTCCTCACGTGCATCCTTACCAATATATACAGCAAAGAATACAAAATATCTGCATTTATATTCTTTCCAAACTGAGTCTTAATGGACTCGCCTTGGACTGTAGCTTGACTTAACCCGATTGTCCTTTGTAGCGTGGATGGATTCACCGGATGGCTTGTAGGACCCGCTTAATTTATACACTTTTTAGTTCTGCCTATGGATACTTTCTTTGTTTCTAACGTATGAGGAAGTTGAGTTAGGGAGTGTTTGGTTTGTGGTGGTGTTAGTGTTTTATGTGGTTCATGAACACGCTACGATGGAATTAGCCTTTTGTTTGCCTACCATTAATTTCTACCAAGAAAAGGCAACATGGTTTGCCAATGTGAGCATGAAATGCAGTATAGCTCCAGGAATCTACTCAATGACTATACGATACATGAATCACATAATCAATACTCACATATGAAATACCAACAAATCAATCTCAAAATTTTCTTTCAAAAGCAGTATAATCAATACTCATGAATCACATAATTAATACTCACATATGATTCTGGAACCATCACTAACTGAAATGAACACCCCTATTCTGTTTGCAGTTAGTTTTCGTTTCCAAAAACAAAACTATACACATTTCTGAAAATCTAGTAATGGTGTATAGTCAAAACAGGTAAAAACTCCTTTTAATTACCTACTTGAACCCATATTCAAATGATAATTTACAGCTCTGTCCTATCATTCAAGTAGACTTGCTTTATCATGTCCTTTGGATAATCCATTAAGATCAAAGGCATTGCGTATCTTTACTATATAAAGTGGTTATTTATTGTGAGTTTTATACTGGTCGTAAAAGTTAAGTTTTATTTGTACATGTGTGTATCACATGTCTTACACTAGTATGATATAAATTCGGTGCCAAATTTTAATGAAATTTTTAGTTCTGATGACCCTTGAACTTTGCGAAAATGACATTTTTCATCTTAAAGATTCAGAAGGGCCATTTTCGCCCTCAATTATGGTGAAAATGCAGCATTAAACCCTTTGTACTTTTAGGGTCAAAA